TAATTTTTTAGTAGAGACAGGGTTTCACTATGTTGGCCAGGATGGTCTCAATCGACCTCATGATCCACCCACCTCAGCCTCCCAAAGTGCTGGGATTACAGGCGTGAGCCACCATGCCCGGCCTTGTCTTTGTTCTTTTTTACTCTGTTCATGCCTTGTTTTTCCCCTTTACAATCTGCCTTGGAGATCATTTCACCATCAGTTCAGAAGATCTTCTTTCTCTGTTTTCAGCCACACAGTGTTTCATTGTAAGGACACACCGTAACGTACTTGACAAGTCTTTGTTGGTTGCTAGTTTAGAACGTGTGCTCTTACCAGTGTTAAGGCGTCTCCGAGTGGGACGGTTCAGGGGTCACCATGGCCTTCAACTGTCACATGGCACAAAGGCCTCATGCATGGATTAATTCCAGGGATTCCTGTTCAGCAAGCGTTGCGTACCTTGGCTTACAGTGGCCTCAGCCCTAAAGGAGGTCAGTCAAGTGAAGGAGTCATACAAGAAAATAAACAATTGCAAAGTTAAAAGATTGTATAATGAGCCCTGTAAGCAGAGGGGGAAGAGAGGCCCACAGGGAGAGCTGCCACTCATCAGAACCACCTGTTGGGGAAGGCCTCACTCCCTACTTTCACCCCCAACCTTGTTTTTCCCAAGTCTTCTCTATGTCAAGAAACAACACCCCATTCCCCCAGCTGCCCAAGTCAGGGTCAGTTCATCAGGAAAGGGTATCAGACCATGTCACTCCCTGATTAAAACCTTCAAGAGCTTCCCACTCTGAGTGTAAAGGCCTTAGAACAAGGCCTTGTGTGCTCTGGCCCCTGAATGCCCCCTATGCAGGCACAGCAACCCCTTCGAAACCCTCAGGCACAACGGGATACTTTTTTTTTTTTCTTTTTTCCGACACGGAGTTTTGTTCTTGTTGCCCAGGCTGGAGTGCAATGGCGTGATCTCGGCTCATCACAATCTCTGACTCCCAGGTTCAAGCAATTCTCCTGCCTCAGCCTCCCAAGTGGCTGGGATTATAGGCACCCACCATCACGCCCAGCTAATTTTTGTAGTTTTAGGGTTTCGTCATGTTGGCCAGGCTGGTCTCAAACTCCTGACCTTAGGTGATCCACTCGCCTCAGCCTCCCAAAGTCCTGGGATTACAGGCGTGAGCCACAGTGTCCGGCCTTTTGTTTGGTTATTTATTTATTATTTATTTATTTGTTTGTTTATTTTTGAGGAGTTCTGGAAGTGGCATGCAATGCTTCTCCATGTCTATCTACCCCAATTCCCAACTCCTAGCACCTCGTCTGGCACATCATAGGTGGTCAGCATTTATTGGATGAATGAGTGGATCGACATTTGATTGAGTCTTGAAGTACAAATAGAATTTGGAGAAGTGGACAAGGCAGGAAATGTGTATTCAGGCATGAGGCTTAGCTTGTGCATAGGTAGAAAGACATGAAAAAACATGGAACATTCTCGAATCCACAAATAGTAAGAGAGGGCTAAGTCGCTGTGTCGGGGAGAGGAGAAGTGAAGTTCAAATGGTAGGCAAAGGCCAGTGGGCAAGGGCCTTGTAAATTGCACTTGAATTTTATTCTATAGGCAAAAGGAAGAGTTTAAGGGTTTCAAGAAGGACATGACCAATGGGCTTTAGGAAAATCATTCCGATGGCCTTTCCGAGGATGGCTGAGGAAAGCAAGCTGGGAAGCAGGGAGGTTGAGTCAGGGGACTTTGACTAGGCCAGGCTAGGTGCTATGAAGCCCGGGCTTTGGAGAAGAACCAGGAAATGGCAACTGGAGGCAAGAAAGGGGAGAAGGCCAAAGCCTGGGAACCATCAACACTCAAGAACAGTAAGGCATAAACATCTAAAGAGAACAAGAAGGAATAGCCAGAGAAGGAAAACAGGAAAGAACTGAGGCGTGGGAGCGCAGGAGAGAGAATGGTTTGAGAAGGAAGCGGTTGCAGGTGTCAAGGCCGTTGGGAGGTCAAGTGAGATAAGGACTGAAGGTCCTGCCAATTGGGCCATCAGGAGCACAGGACTTGAGAGCACTTCTGGGTGGGAACAGACCCAGCCTGTGGCAGGGCTCGGGTTTCTGATGGGAATTCTGGAAGGGTCCGTTTTGTTCAACAGTCCAGGGCCCCCCCAAGTCTGACCACAGCAATGCTCCGAACCATGTCAGTTTCCTGGCTTAAGGTTCAGTCGCCCTCCTCAGAGGGGAGCCTATGAAAGAGCCCAGTGGAGAGTCAGGATTCTGAGTCCTAGTCCTAGTCCTCTCCCTGCCACTTGGGAGGGACCTTGGGCCTCAGTTTCTCCAGGTGGGCTCCACAATTGCTTCTCTTGACCTGGACTGCCCCAGTGCCCAGGTTCAGTGACTGACACAGGCAGCTGGGTTTCCCCATCCTCTGACATGGGTTCCCTTCACTGCCTTCAGGCAGGGCTTGGCACTCCACCCCCAAGGGGCCCATTGTGTGAGCTCAGTTTCAATGGGGACAGAAACTGAGTTGAGAAACGGGAATATTTACCTATTCCGCCGAGCCAATGCCCAAGCAAATAGTGCGGTATCTTACGTAGAGCCCTTGCCCTACCCTTCCCCATCTGGGCGCTGCCGCCTGGAGCATATAAAAGGCACCTTGCTGGGCATGTCTCCTACTAGCCCACCAGTCTCAGAGACGGAATCATTGATGGGCCAGAGCATCCCCCGCCTCCACCATGAAACTCCCTGTCACCCTCCCCCTGGTCACGCTGGCTCTCTACTGCAGCTCCGGTGAGTGCTCAGAGTCCCTTCCCTCCCTCCTGGACTTAGGAACTCTCAGGACCACCCAGTTTTGCTCAGAAGAAGGGGTGAGCTGCCCGTGTCTGCTCTGTAGCCGCTGGGAGGACCTGGGCATGCTGAGTCTCAGAAAACTGGGTCTGGTGAGCAAGCTCATCTTGGGAACTTGGAGAGAGCCCCAGGCTGTGAGGAAGCATAAAAAGGGTCCCATCTTCCATATCCAGCAACCCTCAGAATCCCAGGGAATGGAATAGGCTGGAGGGAGGGGTGGAGGACACCTCATAAAGATGAGTGCATCCAGCATAGGAATAATGAGGCCCTCCTCCCAGACCTGGACACACCCCAAGATGCCGAGAACTTGGTGCAGCCTCCAAGTCTGGGGTCTCCACTCCATGCTGACAGCTGAAGTCACTGGAAGGGGAGCTGCAGGGACTCATGACCCCAAAAGAAACCCAACCCAAGACAAGGTCTCTCATTCTGGGCACAGAAGAATATTCCAGAAAGAGATCTTCCCTTTGGGGAACTGCCAACCCAGAGTGGAGTTTTCTAAACATTTCTGTCCTCTGCAAAAGGGATTAGGAGTCTCTGAGTAGTTGCTGCTGTCATTAAAAGGAAAAGAATTGTGGGGGAAAGGCGGGCAGACAGAGAGAGGGAGAGAGGGAGAGAGGGGGAGAAAGGAAGGAAGGAAGGCTCACACCTCTCTCCAAGATCCCCCGTCTTTGGAGAACTGGGTTATCTAACTCTGTTTTTCACTCTGCATCAGCCTCTTCCATTCTCATCTGAAAATGTTGTTGTTGTTTTTTAATAAATAAACTCCAATTAATTCACTTGGAAAGCTTCACAGCACCCATGGAGATAAGTTTTATGACACTGGGGAGTTAGAAAACCCAAACCAAGAAGCAGTAGGAACAACTATTTTGCAGCAAGGCTTATTTGTTTTTCAGAGAAAATGACATCATTTTGGACTGAAATGTGTATTAATTAGATCTCAGTGCTGTCTGCGTACAGAGGTGGGTGGCTGAGCAAGATAGTTCTGAAACATGTTAAGGGGTGGGTCAGATGCATTTCATTTGTCTATTTGTGTGCGCACACATACAATATTTAACGCTTACTTCACACAATGTGACAATCACTGTCACCCTTTCACATAGTAGCTCTTTAGTATCTCTTTTCTTTTTTTTTTTTTTTTTTTTTGAGATGGAGTCTAGCTCTGTTGCCAGGCGGGAGTGCAGTGGCACGATCTCAGCTCACTCACTGCAACCTCCGCCTCCCGGGCTCAAGCGATTCTCCTACCTCAGCCTCCCAAGTAGCTGGGATTACAGGCACGCAGCACTGTGCCCAGCTAATTTTTGTATTTTTAGTAGAGACAAGGTTTCACCATGTTGGCCAGGATGGTCTCGATCTGTTGACCTCATGATCCGCCCGCCTAGGCCTCCCAAAGTGCTGCGATTAGGCGTGAGCCACTACACCTGGCCTCTCTTTTCATTCTTACAACAATCCTATGAAGTAAGGATACCAGGCCAGGCACAGTGGCTCACGCCTGTAATCCTAGCACTTTGGGAGGCCAACTCATTTGAGGTCAGGAGTTCAGGACCAACCTGGCCAACATGGTGAAACCCTGTCTCTACTAAAAATACAAAAATTAGCCAGCCATGGTGATGCATACCTGTAGTCCCAGCTACTTGGGAGGCTGAGGCAGGAGGATCACTGAACCTGGGAGGCAGAGGTTGCAGTGAGCGGAGACAGCACCACTGCACTCCAGCCTGGGCAATAAAGCGAGACTCCGTCTCAAAACAAATAAATAAATAAAAATAAAATTAAAATTAAATTAAAATTTAAAAAATAAAAAATAAAATGAAGTAGGGATATTGTTCCCATTTTACAGATGAGAAAACTGAGCTATGGAAAGACAGAGTGACTTGCCTGGTGACATAGTAAGTTACAAAGCAAGGACCTAAGTTCCGGAGAGGGTCTGACTTGGAGTGGCCATTTCTAGAGAGGCCCTGGAGTCGGAGGAGGGAAGGTAAATTTGTACGGGAGGCAGAGAATTCAGGGACAAGGCATTTAAGACTCACTGGGGGCCGGGCGCGGTGGCTCAAGCCTGTAATCCCAGCACTTTGGGAGGCCGAGACGGGCGGATCACGAGGTCAGGAGATAGAGACCATCCTGGCTAACACGGTGAAACCCTGTCTCTACTAAAAAAATACAAAAAACTAGCCGGGCGAGGTGGCAGGCGCCTGTAGTCCCAGCTACTCGGGAGGCTGAGGCAGGAGAATGGTATAGACCTGGGAGGCGGAGCTTGCAGTGAGCTGAGATCCGGCCACTGCACTCCAGCCTGGGCGACAGAGCGAGACTCCGTCTCAAAAAAAAAAAAGACTCACTGGGAAGATGGAGGCAAGCAGGGGGTAGAAAATGGTGACTTTCCCCCATGTTCCTGGTTGTAAGGACCTGAGAAGAAAACAGTCTTAAAGCTCTGTGTTGAAGGGAATGCAGCGGTACAAGTGGCTGCTCTGTCCGTGAGCTGAGTGTGCCACACTTCCCGGCCAGGTTGGGAGACCCATGTTTGGCTGGTACAATCACAATGGCTTCTTCCTTTTTTTTTTTTTTTTTTTAGACAGAGTCTCACTCTGTTGCCCAGACTGGAGTGCAGTGACGAGATCTCGGCTCACTGCAACTTCTGCCTCCGGGGTTCAAGCCATTCTCCTGCCTCAGCCTCCCGAGTAGCTAGGATTATAGGCACCCAGCACCACACCCAGCTAATATTTTGTATTTTTGGTAGAGACGGGGTTTCACCATGTTGGCCAGGCTGGTCTGGAACTCCTGACCTCGTGATCCGCCCGCCTCGGCCTCCCAAAGTGCTAGGCTTACAGGTGTGAGCCACCGCACCTGGCTTATAATCGCTTCTTCCTGCCAGAGCCTGAATTTGTCACATGCCCGCAGTGAAGCATGGCTCAGGGCATCCCTAGCCACTGAGGAGAGGCAAGTTTCCGGCGGGTAACAAAACCCTCAGTGGCCTCTTCCCAGCCTCCACACGGCATTAACAAATCAGGCCAGCAGCTTCTGTTATCAGTACTCTGCCTTGATCTCTAACAGAAAGAAAAGTGGCACCTTGCTCACCTCAACCCAAGAAATCCACAAAAAGCTGGCCGTAATCCAGAAAGTATTCGCACAGCACCCAGTAGGCAACCTCTTAGAGCACCAGCAGATCTCACACTCTAGCCCATCGATGACAAGGGTGCCATCTCCCGCTGATGGGCCTGGCTGTTTGCATCTGGGCAGACCCAGCCAGAGAGCTAGCCAGCTTGGAAAGGGGCCTGGAGACATATGCCTTCTCTTCTCTGTGTTGCAGCTTCCGCAGAGGTCTGCCCGACCTTTCTGCGTGTCATTGAATCCCTGTTCCTGGACACACCCTCCAGTTTTGAGGCTGCCATGGGATTTTTCAGCCCCGATCAAGACATGAGTGAGGCAGGGGCTCAGCTGAAGAAGCTGGTGGACACCCTCCCCGCAAAGACCAGAGACAGCATCATTAAGCTCATGGTAACCAGCGCCCTTCACTTCACACTGGTTAGAAGTGGCTTCTCCAAATGGGGCTGCAGGGTTGCCCCAGTTTTCAGACCTGTCTCTAATCCAGAGAGGAGAGTCACAGTGCCACTGTCCCCAGGCAGGCAGCACAGTGATCTTTTTTGAAACAGAGTCTTGCTCTGTCGCCCAGGCTAAGTTGCAATGGCACGATTTTGGCTCACTGCAACCTCCGCCTCCCAGGTTCAAGCGATTCTCCGGCCTCAGCCTCCCAAGCAGCTGGGATTACAGGCACCCGCCGTCATGCCCAGCTAATTTTTGTATTTTTGTAGCGACAGGGTTTCACTATGTTTGCCAGGCTGGTCTTGAACTCCTGACCTCAGGTGATCCACCCGCCTCAGCCTCCCAAAGTGCTGGGATTACAGGCGTGAGCCACCGCGCCCAGCCTCCTCTTACTATTTTTCAAGAGGCTTTTGAGAAACAATCCAAGCTCTTACTACCTCAGTTCCTCCTAGAGTTGACTGCACCTCTCGGTTGATGTTAAAGTTTCTATGGCTCATCATCTCTGCCTAACTATGCAATTCATTCACTGTTGTGTTGAGCTTTTCTGTTTGTTTCTTTCTTTGTTTATTTGTTTTAGGAAAAAATAGAGAAAAGCTTACTGTGTAATTAGGATTTAGAAGCCGAAGATCCCCAACTGCTCCAGCCCCTGCCGCTGCCGTGCTTTGAGTCCACGCCCACCGGCCTTGCTCCCTTCAATAAACCACAAGCATCTCACTTTTGTGCCCCCTGTGTCTTTTTGGTCTCCTTGTTATGGTGGGGGTCTGCCCCTGTCTGGGTGAGGTGAGCCAGGACAAAAGGAAAGCAGACAAAACTCTGCTCTTGGATCCCAGCAGAAATCTCTGGGCTCTTCCAAAGCTCCTTTCCTCTAGGTTTCTGCCTCCAACAGAACTCAAGCCCCCTCCCCTTATATCAGACCATTTACTCAACATCACAGACTGCACTTGTCCAACAGAACCAGTGATCCCTGCCCCAGTCTGTTCCTATCTCAATGAGTTGTAGCTCCATTCTCCCCGCTGGGCTGCAGCAGCCTGAGGAACATCCGCGATCCTTCCTTCTCTAGCCAACCCAGGCTACCTCTACAGGGCCTCTGGAATCCTTCACTCCAACTCCATAGGCAACACCCCCATACCTGCCTGTACAGCCCCCAGGGCCTCCTCTCTGGCTCCCAGGCAGACTCCAGGGCCCCCACAATCCCCTCTCCAGCAATCCAAAGGAATTCTTCTCAAGTGCAAAGTCCCTCCCCATCCTTCAAAGTTTTCCAGGGCTCTTACTGTAAAATTCCAAACCCTGACGATGGTGGCCCCTCACCAGTCTTTCCTGTACCCCTCCTTCCCATGGTTCCCTCATTCTGCTCAGTCCCCACACACACCCCCACCTTCCCTGCCCTCAGTTTTTAAAAAGAGCCAAGCCCCTTTCAAACCTTAAGGCCTTTGTACCAGCCACACAGCCCTGGCTGCTCAAAAAGTGTGGCTGATGGCCAGGCACTGTAGCTCATGCCTGTAATCCCAGGACTTTGAGAGGCCGAGGCGGGTGGATCACCTGAGGTCAGGAGTTCGAGACCAGCCTGGCCAACATGGTGAAACCCCGTCTCTACTAATTATACAAAAAATTAGCCAGACATAGTGGTGCGTGCCTGTAATCCCAGCTACTTGGGTGGCTGAGGCAGGAGAATCACTTGACCTGGGAGGCAGAAGTTGCAGTGAGCCAAGATCGTGACACTGCACTCCAGCCTGGACAACAAGAGTGAAACTCTATCAAAAAAAAAAAAAAAAAAAAAGTGTGGCTGATTGGTTTTTAAAATTGCTCTATAGCAAAATGTGCAAAGAATAGAACTCATCCTAAAGATGCATCCCTGTGGATATGAAGATCCCCGAATCCCCGGCCAGTTTCATGGCAGCCAGCCCCCTGCTGGGCCACATTAGCCACAGCACCTAAACAGAATGGAGGATTGGCTAGGCGTGGTGGCTCATGCCTGTAATCCCAGCACTTTGGGAGGCAGAGGTGGGAGGATGGCTTGAGCTCAGGAGTTCAAGACCAGCCTGGCAACAGAGTGAGACTCCGTCTCTACAAAAATAAAAATAAATTAGCGGAGTCTGGCAACGCATGCCTGTAGACCTGGCTACTCTGGAGGCTGAGGCAGGAGGATCTCTTGAGCAGTTCCTGGCTGCAGTGAGCTATGATCGTGCCACTGCACTCCAGCCTGGGTGACAAGGGTGAGACCCTGTCTCAAAAGGAAAGAAAGAAAAAGGTGGAGGACTGCAGAGGGGCTGAGGAATCGGAGGGGCGTCAGCAGAGGGCACGGAAGGAGGCGGCTGGTTAGAGATAGAGCTCGCCAGTCCCGGCCCCTCCATGGAGCAACGTAGTCCGGCAGGCCTGGCGCACCGCCACCACAAGGGGGCAGTGTCCTCCACAGGGTCCGTGTGTGGACGCGCTGTGGGGGCTGAGGCACCCAGAGGTCTGGCTCTGGGGATCTGGTGTCATCCGTATAATTTTTAAAATCTCGGCCGGGCGCGGTGGCTCACTCCTGTAATCCCAGCATTTTGGGAGGC